AGCGTTCCAACAAATTCTGCTATTCGAATAGACCCATGATCCACAGAATGAACAGTGCATCTCCCGGAGTACACCGTATGCATTGAACTCCTCCCTGGTCGTAATTACTCTATCAATCTTTAGTGTTTGAGCTATCAGCAATTTGACAGCAACTACGAACAAGTGTACCTTAGTTGGAACGCGCGAAGAATGGTGGTCACTCTTTGGGCTCATCGGGTTCAGTCCAGATTAGCTGTCGCACAAATCACACCTCTTCACCCCAACCACCAAATCGACTGACATCAGCATTATTTCAATACAGAAGAGTGTGAGAGTACAGGTATTCGGTCGGGGATGATCCTTTAACCAGTGAAGTGCGCTATGAGGAAGTGGATTCACCCGTAACGTTTCTTTTCCAATTCAAAACGACAATTTCCCAAATCGATCGTGAGATGCTATAGACTAATCAGACACTCCAGTGACAGACCCGAAATGGAAGCATTAGACAAGAGAAACAGTTTCATTCGGATCAAAAACCTCTGTGCTCCGCTGATCGATTATTCACTGCTTCCCATTCATCTTATTTGTGACTATTCGATTGGTTTCAGATGCGTTTATCTAAAACCGATAACTGAGAGTTGATACAATATTATTAAAAACTCACTTCTTCCTCATCCACTTCAAAACAGGCGACATCCTGCTCACCCATCAGTGGACACATGATGCGTACAATATTTGATCAGATCGCATTCACCCTATGGTGGTTGCGTCAACCGCTGATTCAACTTCGAAATGAAACCAGTTTTATGAAACCATTGATTATTACAAGCGGATGCAAATATATCCAATCTATTTTCACTAGATGCCTAGGCACGAATGTCCAATCCGGTTTTATTGTTTGAATTCTCATCCGCTGTCAAACACAAAGCGTATTCCAGTGCATATTTCGGAATCGAACATTGGTTGTAACACTGAAGAACCGTTAGGAAGCAGCCACGTGAGCCCGACAGACGTGCCAGAACCACGTGATCTTTTCAATAAAAGTAATTACATCTGAACAAAACAATTTTTATTGTTCAACGCATGTGTTACTGTACAGTTGTATTGTTAACAACAACATACACATTTGATGAGTACGCCAGTTATCAGGGATTATGATCAGTTAGGAGTTTATAGAGAACATGCTTTTTCCGTGCAGGACTGCATTTATTTGTCATCTGTAAGAAAAACGTTGATCGGCAGGTCAATATATGTGATTAACTTGATGGGTGCACGCGTCTCACATCTCAACGAGATTGTAATATTCAGTATATCACAGGTGCATAGGTTGATCACGACGATGATTATATGGCATTGGATGATCACTTACAAAACAGAGATATCAGGATCGATAGAACAACGATGCTTGCGGAAACGCCACACCGATTAACGGAGTCTAAAATGATGACGAGTTGTGGAGAGATGGTAGACGTGATGAAAATTGAAGGAAGCCAAGAGGAGGTTTCACATGAAATCTCAAAGGACACGACCAGCAGTGGAGAGAAATGTATGAAAACAATTGAGCCTGGGGAGGTTTTGTTATGAACCGCTTTTGGTAAACATTGCTTGTTCGTCACAAAAACAACAGCGTTGGTAGTGAAAATGTGGACAGCTGAATACGCGAACCACAAATGAGACGAAACTGTCAATAGCTGTAGGAAAATGTGCAGTACCGGGCGTGGTGGTTTTCACCATGTGTGATACTATTTTGCAGCAGTATACGTCAAATACACATATTGATTGATAAAAAAACAGGAATGTCCAAAACCGAAATTACAACATGTTTCCAATGTTATACCAGTGACGACTGACAGCAGAACGAATGTTGTCGGGCTTATGAGGACATCAATCAACGCCGACAAGATTCACATAGCCACAAGTCTAAGGGTGAAGTTCATTAGGAAACTTAGTAGGAAAGAGTAAACTGATAGGTTTGAGAGACCACTACTCCGACTAAAATCATGACATGAAGTAGTAGAATCAATGAACTAGCGGAAGCGGTGCAGAAAACGGTAGTCGCTGGACCAAAATCGTAAAACCTCTGGAGGACTAACTCGATGAAGCGGAAGAAAATCAGGTGGATGAACGATGAAAAAACAACACTCACTTTTAATTTCCGCAGCGAACCTGGTTTTCGCAAAGTCATTCGAGCCGACGACCAATTTCACATAGAACACATTTGATGTGGACGAGAACTTATCCGCCGGAGGCGATTGACCGCACTTCTTGTAACCCGGGTTCTCGCTGAAGTCAGCTTTATTGCTCACTTCCACATAATCCTGCCCACAAGGATTTGCCTCGGTCCCAACCTGGTGACAAACACGAACAGAATAGAGTGATCACTGAATGTTATGCATTGCGGCATGCATCGATCAAGAAGTATGCCACTCTCCACTGAACAGACAGATGGAGTGTCGGCTGAAACAATCGTTTGCCGAAATCGTGAATGTGAGGATGATTTCTGTCTGTGTATAATGATAAAATAATTGTCAAACATGGGTTCTAAATTTCATGTGTTGTTCACTGATGCACAACCACAGCATCGAGGTCTATTCAGTGAGAGGATTACAATCTGTGAATACTTACGTTTCTATATTTTTGAGAGATTTCGTTTACAATGCACAACTGACATGAAAAAAATATGCGTACTTACTTTGAAGTCGGTGAATGCGAATTCATATGTCTTTCCAGCATCTCCAGTGAGCGTATAGGTGCATGTGAGCTTTTTGGTGAACGCGCTTTGCGGTACTTTCCAACCACTGGCTAGGTCGGATATTTTCAAATCAGTAGTACCACATTCGTCTGTGCCAGATCCTCCGCCAACTGTGAACGGCAATATAGAAACGAAGAAATGCGGCGCATGAGATTTACTGAATAGTGGATTATTCCTGAATCGTTCATGTCATTCAATGCCTCCAAGTGTTGATCCGTGACCCATCTGATATGTGAGCATTCGGTATTCGAGTTCACGTCACAAAGAACCGAACATGTTTCTTGCAATCGTTTCAAGCATTTATTTCCATTTGACCGACGTTTCGCTTGATCGGATTTTAGTTTTTTTATGTGGACCATACAACTGTTTAGCAAATCATCGATTGATCAACGGTTTTCAGTATGATCAAAGTGACCATTATGCTGGATTTATTCTTGTTTCGGTCTGATGCTAGATGACTTTACGAGAGGGTTTGTGTATTGTTATTCTTGCATTGAATTAAATCCATCAGTTTTCAAATTGTATGGGAAATCAATAGCTGTGCAGTGGTTCAACTTGTCAGCACGTGCTGGCTGGCGTTCAAGATTACTAAATGTCGATCTTAGGGTTGGCGCCGATCGGACGAATACCGATTGTGTTGTTTGAACTCCTTAAAATCACTTTGAAGGAGTTTTAGGCAAGCTATTGTGACTTATTTCATCAATGTACTAGGACACTCATGTTCGTAATCCAGGTGTGCTTAGCCACAAACATGAGGGGTTTAATTCATACAAACAACGGTCACCAGGGTTAGTGAAAATGCTTCCATATCTATTGCGGCTTACACCACACTCACACCAGTATTCGCGGAGGTCGAGAACCGCAAATACTTCTTAGTATAAATGTGTCGTGGAATCAACGCTTCGCCGTTGGAGTATACAATGCATGGAATTCGAGACCTTGAGCAAGCCAATCACATAACTGCACAACTGAGTGCATACGTAAAACTTACGGAACCTGTTGTTCTGAGGAACAAGGGCTAAGACAGATCACCGGTTTTCTTATTCTGCTTGAAATGAGTTTCCTTCGATTTCAAGTCGTATATCGGCTTTCACCAACTGACTTTAATCGAACGACCAGTAGAAAGCAACGCTCGCTAGTAGAGTAGACCGTTCTCAATATTGGAAAGCGGGAGTTCGCATTCACGAAGTATCGACCAATGCATGTGGGTGAATGTGGATGCGAAACTTGCATCGTAATGTCCTATCGCCAATGCATCCCTCACCTTCAGTGATGGTCGCAGTAAAAGTGGTTGTCGCAAAGTCGTCCGAGTTGATGGTCAATTTCACATAGAACACATTCGATGCGGACGTGAAT